CTCATTAGATTTCGGCTTTATTTTAATACTCCGTATGTAGTATCAGAGAGATTATTACAGCAAGCAAGCGAAGCGAGTGAGCGAGGGGGAGATAATGATTCGGTGGGGGCAATAGTACTGAAACTGATCAGGATGTTCGACACGTGGCGAATTGTCAGACAACTAGTTAAAGATCTATCATAATTTTCTTCATAGCTTTAATCAAAAGTTTGTTGTTCCGATTGTGGCTATTCTCTTCCTCATCGGATTCAGCCATTCTTTCTGCAAGAGAAACAACAAAACAACACCAGTAACTAGTCCTTTTGAAACAAACACGAAATGACTCTTCAAATGCCACAAAATTCTCCTAGAACCCTAATCACGACAGTTTCACTTGTTCGAAGACTAAAAATTATCAAATCACGCAGAAAAATTCTAGAAATAATTTTAGAAAATACTAGACACTTTTTTTCGAATCCGTGATAGTTGATTTCGCGATTTTAGCACATACCAATTATTTATGAAAATTAAAACAAGATGACAGACGGAATAAGAAGATGAACAGGCAAGATAGAATACTCAACTTTTAGAGTGTGCTCTGATACCACTTGACACGATCCCCCCGAGGACTCGACACTCTAAAGTTGAGCAAGGGATAAAGGTTGCTGCGAAGCCGTGAGGATGGATAGATGATCTCGATCTAGAGACGACACACGACTCAAAGACGAGAGAATGGATCGATGGATATCACAGAAGTTTGCGGAAGAACTTCACGATACCGAAACTTAGATCCTTTGGATATACACACCAAAAGAGACTAAGGGTTTTGCTGGATATACGCACCAACAAGATGATCTTCTTAGAAAAGGTTTTTGATAAAAAGAAAGATGAGTTCTCATAAGAGATTACAAGAGGATATATAGGAGAGAAGAGAATGTAGAGAGACAAGTCTTGGAATAAGCTCTAAGGCTGCCTAGAAACTTAACAAAATATTAAAGATAGAATTTGAATAGAAAATACTCTTTGGCTTCAAAGATGACCCTTGAACTTCTATTTTCGTCACTCCTCTAT